ACGGGCCGATGCCTTGAAGCAGCTGAACAAGGAAATTGTTGACAAACGGCAACGGCAGATAAACGTTCAAGTGGTTTTGTTTAATCGTTCGCGAATAGAACATGTCGTATGTGTTATACAGACTCGGCATTCGCAGCACTTGGCTGAACTACGTAGAAAGCGTAGTCAATCATTGGAACTCGCATGTAATGAAAGGGCCCTCGCTAAAGAGGAGAGAGCTAGGGAATGGGTGACTGAGATTCCATCCGATGAACCGCAAGAGCTACCTCCCAGGAACGGCTGGAAGCGTCGAGAAACAATAATGAGGCTGCGAGAGAGCGCTATCGACGGGAACGAGAGAGGAAGCGCATCATTGAGGTGACCGACACTTGCTCGATAGCTATGGATCTACTCAACCTTTTCTGTTGCATCGCCATCAAATGCACCTTAGGACGTGCAAAAACCATTCTTACTCGCAGAGGCTAAGCAAAGGGCCGCTATCAAGCTGCAAAAGGAAAAGAAGCTGGAAGATGCCCGGGCTGCGGCCCATGAACGGGCGGTGCTCAAGGAGCGACTTTCCAGTATAGACACTGTGAGACAAAGCAATATAAAAGCGAAGGATGAGGATCGCGAGCGGCGGATGAAAGAACAGGCCCTGATGGGAGGGTCGGAAAGTCTGAGCTTGGACGATCCATTTTTTACGGCAGAATCGAGGGAGGTAAGACTAACTATGAATGAGCTGCTACCGTCATTTGCAGGTTGAGACTCACGGAAATGGCGCGACACAGGGCTATGGTTTGGTCCGAATGGAGGAGGTCCTTGCGAAGGACCACGAGAACCCAAGAGACAGGAAGTGCCTCGTTAACACATTTGGTCGATGGGTACGAATGATAGGCCTATCTATAGGTTTGCAAATGATGCGGAACACAAGAACTCTCATAAGGAGCGAGAAATAACAGAAGATAGACGGGAGCAAGAAACTCTACAGAAGGGTTTGAAATACAGAGAGATGGAGGAAGTTAGACGACGTGAGTGAGGGTGCTTACATTGCCAAATGAACTCCGCTCGTCAGTTGAAGAGTGGAAAGCCTCTGAACAGCAGCGCAAGGAAAAGAACGCCCTTATACGATCCGAACTGGAGAGATGCCGCGACGAAACCGTTCGGGCCACACAGGCTAAGAAAGTGACGGTATTTTAACTTTCGAGATCCGCTGCAGGCTCTCTTGATGTAGATCTCCGATTATGAGATAACGAACCGCTTAGAAAAGGCCCGTGAGCAGAAGGAGAAAGAGCGAGAAACTACTCGCAACTCACAGTTACATACACGACTTCGAAGTGTTTCAAATGCTATGGCCATCCCACACTTGATTGCTTGATCAAGTCTCCCTCATTAGAGTATGGTTGTGTTCCGGTGAGGAAGGAAGAGCAACCCGGAACTTGATTGAACACAACATTCAGTCGTAAGTCTCGAACACTCCTTGAGGAGTCCGTACATAGGAAAGTAACTACATAAACGTCTATCGCACAGAAAACCGCCCAAAAAGGCAGCATATAGGAACAGGTGAACACCCAAAATTTCTTCGGAGTTGTAGTAAAAAAAGTTCAGTAGTAAAATATCTATCCACGGAGGCTCCCACCACGAGTCGGTTCAGGGATACCCTTGCACTCAAACTTGTTGGGCACAACAGTCGTGAGATACTCGTATAGCGACTCGTAGTTGCAGAGAGACCTGTAATAGACACATCATAGCAAACTGTCCGAAACATATCACGATGAATCACACTCGAACGTAGTCACTCGATCAATCCAAATGAACAACATTCACTTGCATCTCATGGGAAGTTTCTTACTTGCCGCGACATTCCTCGATGGCTTCGACAGAAGTCACACGACCGTTATAGATCCAGCGGGCTTGATTGTCAGAGTAGATCTCCAATATCAACGCGGTTCCAAATGGAGGCCAGTACTTCGCACAGGCGTTACCAGAATCCATCCCTGAAAGCCACAGTCAAACAGATACACATGAAGCGTGCTTACACTTCAACTGGAGAGTATCAGTGAGGGAGTTAGCCGGACCAGTATCGTGACCAAGATACAATGAGAAACGCCTGTCGGGAATGCTCAAGTCTTCGAGTACGTCCTGAAAGAATGTGTGCAATACATAGCAGACAAAAATTCGCCAAAAAAGGAAGTCGTAAACACAAGACTCCACCAACACTCAAACTCACCTTGATCAGAGGACCGTATGCGAGTCTGCGCAACTCCTCCGTAGTGCCATAGCGGTTGTTTAACCAGAACCTACAGTGGCAGATATAACATCCGTGGCTTTTGCGCTTCGACTGGCTTACGTAGCATCCTCCTCAACACGCTCGAATAAAGGACTGGAAGTACCAAGGCCAAGGGGAACATTCTTGGGCTCGCTAGGAACAGTTGAGCAAACATGACTTGTTAAGCAGTCCTGAAATCCGTGCAATCAGAGAACCACATAACTTCTATATCAAAACTTACATAAAGACCAGAGTATAGATGCTCCATATCCTCCGGGTTCTCAGTACTGAAGTCATCAGGGCGACCAGTAACGAACCCCATGAAAGCACGCTCGAACCTAGACCTCTCAACACGGTCCTTGGCTTCAGCAGAATCGTAGAATACTTTCAAGGCGTCATTAAGGCGAGGACACACCTAAGAGAATAGAAGCTGAGCACGGCGATGCCTCGAATGAATATCCAAATATGCGCCGTTCCAATCACCTGAGCACTAGGGGTCATAGTATCTCTCTGACTATCAGGGATGATGATCTCGAGGTTCGAAGGATCCTCTGAGGGAAAGTCATATGTCTAGACTCGCATGACCAGTAACGGGAAGAGTATAATCACTACACCTACCAGTCATAATATCGGGGAACATTCCCATAGCAAAAGCCTCGACACTCTGGTACACTCGTGGAACATCGGTTGAACGGAACATCACCTGGGGCTCACTCGGGACCTGATGTACGAGAAGACATGAGCTCAATCAAAAGATGAGAACAGCAGAATCGATCAGTGAGACTTACATCGTCCAAATCGAGGGCAGTTTTGTAGGAAGCACCAAACTGCTTTCCGTTAGCAAGATGCATCTGTACTCCAGCGTCAACGAGCTGACCTGATAATCAGAAGACAATCATAAAGTAAGAGGCCGTTACAGAGAGACTCACCCAGTACACAGTTGTCTCCCGGTAAAACACCCTCCTTGCCACGAATGCGGGTGAAGGCAGGGGATCTTCCACCCGAGGGACTATTAGTGAAGCCATAGAAGGTCTCAGTGGGACAGGTATATCTGAATAAGATTGAGACGAGGTAAATAATACCTCCTATACATCATAGCGCACGCTACCTAGTCTCATCTCCAACCCAGCACGTCATGTCATGCACGGGCATTCGAGCGCCATGACGGGCAAACACCAGAACACGCTCCTGAAAACGATAAAGTCAAGTGATGGTGATTCCGACATCATCATATGAGATCCTACCAGTTGAGCTCCAGAATCATCTTCACGAGGAGGAACACTATCC